TCTATCTTATGTTGAAGGGTAATTATTTATTCATCTTGGTGTACCGATAAATTCGTAAAAATGTATAATTTATTTATGTTTGTGTGCTTGTGTTGTGCCTTGTGCTTATCATTGTTTGGCCACATTTTATTATCCTTTTTATTAACATATCAATAATTTTATCTCTAATCAAATAGCAAACTTACATAATTTATATATAATTACAAATGTGTTAATTATTATATTCATCCGATACAAATGGAAACACAAGAAAAAAAGTGTTATTGTGAATGCACAAAAATTTTGACCCACTATACAAATCTTGTGTCCACATTATTATTGCACTTGATTCTATGCAAACTAGGGATGTGAAACAATGGAGGTAGAAGGAATGAGGCAACAATTCCCATTCTACAATGAGCTCCAAACCATCTTCGCCGCCCGAATGCAACGCATGCTCTGGCACGAGGCCGAAAGTGGTGGTGCCGCTGGCGGCAGTAGCTCACGACAGAGGTTAACTGCCGCCTCCGGCCAGTTCTCCTCCGACGAGGAGGAGCCACCATACAACGAGGATGTCCCTAGCGAGGGTGAAAAGGTAGGCGGGTCGGGCGGACCAGTTAGAAATAAGAAGCGCAAGGCGAAAGCCTCGACTTCTGGTGCAGGAAATTACGTAAATACTTCTGCTCAGAACAGCAGCAGCAGTTCTGCTGCTGTTCTGAACGGGATTCGGGAGATGATGGAGGAGTACATGAGGCAGCAAATGCAGATGGAGGCTCGGTGGATCGAGGCGTACGAGAGGCGGGAGGAGGAGAGGCGGGTTAAGGAAGCAGAATGGCGGCAGACGATGGAAAAGCTCGAAAAGGAGCGGCTGATGATGGAAAGACGGTGGAGGGAGAGGGAGGAGCAAAGGAGGGCTCGGGAGGAGCAAAGGTCGGAGAAGAGGGACGCGCTTATCAATGCGCTTTTGGACAAGCTTAGGAGGGAAGAAGGCAACAACATGTGATCAAGAGGGAATTACTAAATTAACAAATGGAGTTAGATTTCTTGTTTTGTTGAGTATGTTTAGGTTTGTTGTGATAAAAGTTTCCTCTCTTGGTTTCGGGGTATTATGGTAAATGATCTTATGGGAAAAAGGGGATGGGATCATGTGGGAATAAGTGTTTCTTTTGAACCCTTGGGGATTGGAGGTTTTGTTTCTTGGAACTCATGTTTATATAGCTAGTTGGTTTGTTTCTTGGATATATTAGACTACTAGTGGTATTTATATCAAGGCTAATTTCATGTTTTTAAATTTATTATTTTGATTAGGTTGGCTATTTTGTAATTGGGAGGGCTTATAGAAATTTTGTTTTGGTATTTAGACTAATTATGAAATAGTTAGCTATCCTTCAAATTATAATCATTTTCCTCTAAAAAAGGTGACATTTTATTTGATTGTTTATTTTGTGTTGCAAGAATTGTGTGTTGATTATGTGATTTGCTAGTAGGTTGGGATTTTCATACGTGTATGATATGTAAGCTTTGAAATATTGTTCCAATTATTATAGGAAGAAAAGCAACACACTTGTTAAAACTTTTAAGGGAACACATGTTCAAGTGCTTCCTACTTACGGGCAAATGAAAATTGCTCTTTGCGGACCCAATTCACATTCCTTACCATTATTTTCGCTTTTAGATGGCTATATAATATAATAATTTATATGTTGCTATTTTAATTCCAGAGTGGTTATACAAAATTTAGAGCCAAGAAAGAATAATGATGGCAATTTACCCAAGTATGGTTCATAAAATTAAACTCTCCATGTTAAAAGAAGGGTGAAAAATAAAATAATTGTCAGGGTTGCTTAGTATATACTTTGTCTTTCTCAGTTATATATACTTAAGTATTTTTCTTTTCTTATAAATAAATTTAAGAAACTCGAGATTAATTTTTTGGTAGATTAAGTTATTAGATTCTTTAAAGATTATAAATTTACAGTTGAATGATAGCATAAAATGATAAGTCAGAATGACAAACTTAAATTAAATGAAGGGAGCGGTTAATCTTAGTAATCTAAAACTCCAACTATAGATGATAAATACATATTATATTATCAAATGTCGGCCTTTTATTTGCATTATTATCACAATAATTTTTTAAAAATAAAAGTATGTATATATATTTGTGAAAAACTATATATAATTTAATTATTATATATGTCCACACAATTAACTATCTTGTATGATGAGAAATTCTTTTCATTGGCCACTTTACACGTGTACGGCGGATATTGAAGCATGAAGGATCTCAATCCTTCTACGATTTTATTTGGTAAAATTCCACTATGATATATATACATGTCATAATTAGACCATTTTTGCTCTCATAATGTTGGAAATAAAGGTATCAACTGTTTGGTTGCGCGTAAAGTCAAATGAAGGTAACTGGGCGAATATTCTAGATTTTGAACACAGAAATGGATGCATCAATATCAGCATTAATATNAAAAAATTAATTGAATTCGACTTGGTTTTTTTGGCTTTTATGCACATTTTGGTATAGTTTGTGCAGAATCGTGCCAAACTATTGAAAATAAAAACACCGATATTTTAATGAAATAATCGAACTGCAATGCAATATATAAAAAATAAACTAAAATTGAAATTCAATGAATCCGATTATAAGTTTCATACATTAAATTTTACTTTATGGATTTTGATTATTAATAATAACTAGTAACACTTGTACAGAAGTACCTTTTGAATTGTCAATATCTAGTAACAGTTACTTGCCGTGAATTACATCTAAGTTAATTGTGTAATAAGATTACACTATATAATTATCAGTAATGTACAGAATGATTTAAGAAAATAAAAATGTCTCCAAAGTAGTAGTGGGTGATTTAGATGGTTTATTTTGCAAATAATATCAATATTCTCCTCCATAAGAAAAAAAAAATCAAAATAATATGATATCCAATATTCCAACTGCACAACCATATAAGTAGAGCTAATATCGAGTCAATCCGACCTCGAGTAATCGAGTTGAATTGAGCTTGAACCCTTTAAATTTAAGACGCTCGAGTTTGACTCTCTTAACGAGTAGAATTATACTAAAAATTCAAAAAATTACATAAAAACTTCTATCTATCAAGCATTCCCATTCGCTTTTTGATTTTGCTATTCGGATGCTTTTATTTCGGATTACTTTCTGTGTGGCATTCGATTTGCATTCTCCATTTGCATAGTGAAGTAGTTTATGGACAACATATATTTAGTTTAGTATCCCAAGGAATTGAACTCACTTTCGTAGATCAACAGAATCCACTTTATGCAACTCACTCGTTGTAATTGACATGCCTTTTTCTTGTCGAGAAATAGAAAAACCTTGTCAATTGTTGTATGATAGGTTGCGTGAAGTTGAACCACAGAGGACCTCTGAAAGGGAGTGAATGCATTTGCAAAGTATTAATTGCGTTCATTGTTTGGCAAAATTGATAATAATCCTCTCAATTTCATCAGTAGTTGGTGTTTTTTCTAAGAGCGAAATGTAATATCATGTTTATCTTCTAGGTTTTGCTAATTAAGGAGTAAAAACCCTTGTTGATTGATTGTATGAAAGTTGATCACAATAATTATTTTTAATTATTTAAATTAAACTACTACTCTGCACACTGTTACTGTGTATTTACTATATTAGCCTTAAGTTATCTTTGAATATGTGTAACCTAATTTTGTGTATATATACTTTGTTAATAGAGTTTTTGGATCATCCGATTGAGATGATTTTCACCCCAAACTTTGTGTCGTTTCTCTCGTATCATGGTATCAGAGCCATGAAATTTTTCGGATCAATATAATTTTATCTGATCGCATCTTTCCAAGCAATTGCTATTCTTCTTTGGTTCCGCTGCATCCCGCCGATCGACTGATGCACTTGTTCCAATCTCATTCCGCTAAAGTGTGCAATTTATTTAATTGCAATTGTGGAGAAATACTGCCATTGATTTTGGTTCAATTGATTACTCAATGATTGATTCTTGATACCTGATGGTTGAATTGCAATTGATTTATGCCCTCTCACATGCGAATTGCAATTGCAATTGAGAATTTACGCCCAGGTGTCTTGATTCTTGNAAGAAAAGAAAATTGATTCATTCAGTTACTTCTTCATGGGTGATTCTTCTTTTTCTGGTTTTGGTTCCAGTAGTGGCCGCGATTGTAATTCTGGTGGTGGCCGCCGTGGTGGAGCTCGCGGCAAGTATGGTGCTTGTGCCAATGCGGCGTTCCCTAGTAGTATCGGTGATTCGTTTGTTCCCGATTTTGTTGGTTCTTCCACTGCTGGTAGAGTTTTTAGTGACTCTGATCGTCTTGCACTTGGCAAGTTTAACCAACGAACAATGGGCTGATTTTGTGTTTTTGGTTAATTCCGCTAAACAAAATAATCTCTTATCTGGTACGCGTGGTTTATCTGATGGATGTACGACTGTGGGGCAACTCATCATATGACAGGGTTCTTGGAGTTTATTTCTGATGTGCGGGATATTCCCGCCCGTCCTGTTCAATTGTCTAATGGTTCCTTGACTATGGCTAGCAAGGCTGGAACGGTTTATTTGGGATCTCATATCACTCTTTGTGATGTTTTATACGTTCCCAGCCTTCGGTGTAGCTTGATTTCATTATATCAATTGCTAGATCGTTTCAACTGCACCGCTCAGTTTACTAGCAAATTATGTGTTATTCAAGACCGCACTTCGAAGAAGGTGATTGGCGCGGGTGAGCAGTTGGGCGGTCTTTACTTCTTTCGAGGGACGGTTTCGACGACAGTTTCTTATGTTCGAAAGGTTTCTGCCGATGTGTGGCATCAACGTTTGGGTCATCCGTCTTCTCAAGTGTTGTCCCAGGTTCCTGTTATTGATTCGATTTCTCGTAATTTGCATAAATCGTGTGATGCTTGTTTTCGTGCTAAACAACATCGTCGTAGTTTTCCTCTCAGTCAGACTGTTAGTCATGAGACTTTTCATTTGATTCATTGTGATTTGTGGGGTCCGTATCGTGTTCCGTCCTTCTATGGTGCAAGGTATTTTTTGACTATTGTGGATGATTGTTCTCGTGGGACATGGGTTTATTTATTGAAGAATAAGACAGAGGTTGCTTCCACATTGCTGAATTTTTTTTCTTTGATTAAGCGCCAATTTGATAACAAATTGGCGCATGTTGTTCGTACTGATAATGGAAGTGAGTTCATGTGTTTGGCCTCTTATTTTCGTCGTCAAGGGATTCTGCATGAGACTTCTTGCGTAGGCACCCCTCAGCAGAATGGGCGTGTGGAACGCAAACATCAGCATATTCTCAATGTAGCTCGTGCTTTACGTTTCCAAGCTCATCTGCCTCTTCCTTTTTGGGGTCATTGTGTTTTGACTGCGGTCTATCTGATAAATCGAACTCCCTCTTCGGTTTTAAATGGTAAAACTCCATATGAGATTCTTTATGGTTCGGCTCCTTACTTATCTCATTTGCGGGTTTTTGGTTGCCTTTGTTATGCTCATAACCAAGATCGTAATGATGACAAGTTTACTGCTCGGAGTCGTCGTTGTCTATTTGTCGGTTACCCGTTTGGCAAAAAAAGTATGGAGTTTGTATGATTTGGATCGTCAGATTTTCTTTGTCTCTCGTGATGTTGAGTTTCTTGAGACTGAATTCCCATATCAGTCAGACTCGTCTGAGCCAGATTCTTTGCCACCGCCTCTTGTTGTGCCTGTTTCTTCTGCACCGGATGACACTGAAGATCTTCCAATTGTTTCTTTGCCTCATGTTTCTCCTAATACTGGGTCTTCTGCTACAGATATGGACACGTCTGACGACAGGGGGGGTTCCGTTACCATTACCCCTCCCACTCTTCCAGTCGAGCCCTTGGGTCGTGGTCATCGGACTAAGGTTCCTTCTACTCGGCTGAAGGATTTTGTGGTTGACACTGTCCGACCCTCGACTGTACCACACACTGCTTCTCCCCAGTTGTCTCCATCCTCCGGTACGCCTTATCCCATAGCACATTATGTGTCTTGTGATTCATTCTCTCCTGCTCATCGAGCCTTTTTGGCTGATGTTGCCTCCGCTGTTGAGCCTCGTACTTTTGCTGATGCTATGACTGATACTCGATGGCGAGCCGCTATGAAGGGTGAGATTCGTGCCTTAGAGAATAATGGCACGTGGGATGTGGTTTCTCTTCCATCTGGGAAACGTGCGATTGGGTGCAAGTGGGTCTTCAAGATCAAGCATAAGTCTGATGGTACCGTTGAGCGCTATAAAGCGCGTCTGGTGATTTTGGGCAATAATCAGGTGGAAGGTCTTGACTATCATGAGACGTTTGCTCCTGTCGCTAAAATGGTTACAGTCCGGTTATTCTTGGTTGTGGCTGCTGCTAAGCATTGGGAAGTTCACCAGATGGATGTTCACAATGCTTTTCTTCACGGTGATTTGACTGAGGAGGTTTATATGAAGTTTCTCCCCGGTTTTCGCTCTGGCGTTGATGGACAGGTTTGTCGTCTTCGTCGTTCCCTCTATGGTTTGAAGCAGGCTCCCCGTTGCTGGTTTGCCAAGTTGGCTACTGCTTTGAAGCAGTATGGTTTTTGTCAGTCCTATCATGATTACTCTCTTTTTACACTGCATCGGGGTTCTATCCATCTGCAGATCTTAGTCTACGTTGATGATCTGATTGTTTCCGGGAATGATACAACTTCCATTACAGCCTTCAAGAGTTGTTTGAGTCGTTGTTTTCACATGAAGGATCTTGGCTTAATTAAGTATTTTCTGGGTATCGAGATAGCCCGGAATTCTTCTGGCTTTTTTCTCTGTCAGCGGAAGTATGCTCTCGACATTATTGATGAGGTCAGACTGTTAGGGAGCAAGCCCGCTGATTTTCCGTTGGAGCAGAATCATCAGCTTCCTCTTGCTGAAGGTGATCTATTGTCTAATCCCGAGTGCTATCGTCGTTTGGTCGGGCGTCTTATCTATCTGGCAGTGACTCGTCCTAAGCTATCTTATTCGGTGCATATGCTCTCTCAATTTATGCATCAGCCGCGTCACGCTCACTGGGACTCTGCTCTGCGTGTGGTTCGATATTTGAAAGGCTCTCCTGGTCAGGGAATCCATCTTCGTACTGACTGCGACCTTCAACTCTATGCATGGTGTGATTCGGATTGGGCGTCTTGCCCTCTCACTCGGCGCTCTCTTTCTGGTTGGTTTATTCAGTTGGGTCAGTCTCCTGTTTCTTGGTTCACCTACTGTCGCTCGCTCTTCTACTGAGGCTGAATATCGGGCGATGGCTACTACGTTGTGCGAGCTGAAGTGGTTACGGGGTCTGTCATCTACTCTTGGTGTCGCACTCTCAGCCTATGCGGTTACACTGAAGTCAGTCTGCGCTGCATATTGCGGCGAATCCAGTTTTTCATGAGCGCACTAAGCACATAGAGGTGGATTGCCACTTTGTTCGTGATGCTCTTATACAAGGTCTCATTTCCACTACTCATGTTCCTTCTGGGGAACAACTCGCTGACATATTCACCAAGGCGCTTGGGAAGCGTGAATTCGATTTCTTTCTTCGCAAGTTGGGCATTCGAAATCCGCATGCTCCAACTTGGGGGATGTGTTATTGTGTATTTACTGTATTAGCCTTAAGTTATCTTTGAATATGTGTAACCTAATTTTGTGTATATATACTTTGTTAATAGAGTTTTTGGATCATCCGATTGAGATGATTTTCACCCCAAACTTTGTGTCGTTTCTCTCGTATCACACACACCAAGAACTCCTACACTAGTCAAATTTGCAGTGAACGAATATTTTTGTTACCTTTATACAAAGTCAGCAAGGACTCTTGTCTTTTAGAACAAACCACACAAACGAGGCTTTGAACAAATTTGTCGTCCATTGGCTTTAATTATTGCCATCAAGCCAGCAGCTACACCAGCACAAACCATAGAAGATAGAACGTGCTGCGCATTTCTTCCAGCTAGCAATAAATTTTAAATATAATTGATGAATATTTTTACTCCTAAAGCTAT